TATACTTTAATCAAGATATAAGTAATCATTAAAAGCAAAACTTATCCTTATACCCCTGCAGACAACACATGTTGCAGATATCACTCTCACCATAGGGTAGAGCACAGAGTCATATGTATAACGGTAAGTCTCGACACATTCGTCGTCGACATAATACCGTAAGACAACTACTCTCTAATGGAATTATTTCCATAGAATATGTTAAGTCTAAAGACAACATAGCGGATCCACTAACCAAAGGGTTAGCAAGAGTGTTAGTTGAGAATTCATCGAGGGGAATGGGACTAAAGCCTATTTAATAAGAGTTACCACAACGGCAACCCAACCTAGTTGACTGGAGATCCCAAGATCTAGGTTCAAAGGGACAACCGAGTTGTGATTGACTCAGAAGGATCATTGTGGAGTCCAACTCCTACCCATTTCTATGATAAAATAAGTGATGTCTGCAGCGTTTGAGGTTAAGTAAAATTTTAATGATTCTTATATCTAGGTAAACCTAGTGGAGTATGGCAGGATACTCTTCATAAGAATCACCTATGTGAGTGTGAACTGGGCCGGTTCTATAAGATTTGTGAAGGGCTACAAGTCTTTAGAGCACTCATGAAGACCAGGTTGTTCAGGGCCAAAATGAACACAATAGTGAGAACTAAACTGTGTTTGGGGATAATTTGTGTGAGTTCTATTGTCTTGGTTTACACAAACGGCTGAACAGTTCAAGACATCATGTTCACTGGTTAGCTTGTAAATCTTATAGTGTCTCACAAAGGAAGGTTCAAAGCCAAAAGCTACCTATCCTTTGCAGAATATTTCCAATTTCTGTATTCTCTGTTATTAGATCAGGTTGTTGCATTTTCTCTCCGTCAAATTCTATTCATGTGGGGGATTGTTGGAAAAATGGTGTTTTATATGGCTTATTTTGAGCTAACTTTAAGGCCAAAATTGAGTGGGTCTCAAACGTCTTTTGGGGTAGGTCCGAAGAGGTGAAGTGTTCCTTGCCGTGTGGCAAGTCACACGGTGAAGACGGAATGTCAAAACCATTTATGAGTGAATGGGAAGTTGACGTCGTTTTCGAGTCTAACATTAATTTTTAGATAAATTTCATTTGAATTTTTTCAATAAAAAAAAATTATTGTGGGAATTTAATTTAATTCTAATATTCAAATTTTGGATTCCTAAGTGGTTTCCTAAAGTTTGTCATTGTGGGAATTTAATACAATTCTAAATTAAAAATTTTAGGTTCCTAAGAAGTTCCCTAAAATTTTTACCTCTTCATTTATTTATTTAACTATTTCAATAGTTTAATATATATATATATATACATATATATATATTCAATTATTTTAATATATATATATTTGAAATAGTTTAAATAAATATTGGTTCAACCGGTTTGACTTGGTCTCCAACGTAAACAATTTGAAAAAGAAAGTGTTTTGTCTCTAACGAATTCTTTTTTGCATTGTTTAAATGATTTCAAATCAGGTGGTACCTGTTGAACCATTGTTTAGACCTATTCGGGTCTATTGATTTTGCCTATAAATACACATATGTTCCAGCAGTTTAGGGATCCGGAAAAAACAGTCTCATATTTTGTTTTTTTTTTTTGGCTGTCCAAATTACTTTTAGTACATTATTCTTCATTTTAGATTTAAGAATAAATATTCAGAGAGTTAGAACACAGGTTTGGTTCGCCGAACAAATTTGGTTGAAGTGCTACAACAATTTTGTGAAGATCATTGTATCCTGGGAGATAGACGCCACTCAACCGTAAGCACCGTAGCGGGGCGAATCTGTCTTAAGGACAGAGTGTCACACACTCGACTTGGTCTTAAATTATTTATTCAGTTTAATAAATAAATTCGGTACGTTATTTATTTATTTGTTTGGAAATTTATTTCAAGTTATTTTATGTACACAGAAGATTGTTCCAACAGGCAACAGATGACTGATTGCACCAGGAAGTGGCTTGGATGGTGAGCCAGGGGGTGAGTTTGGTGGTGTGCCAAGAGAGGGCGACTTGGATTGTGCGCCAAAAGAAGCGGCTTGGATTGTGCGCCAGAGAAGGGCGGCTTGGGTTGTGCGCCAGAGAGTGGGGCTTGGATTGTGCGCCAAAGGAGGCGGCTTAGGTGGTTTGCATGGTGTATAACCATGCTCACCGTGATATAAGTATAATATCCCCCCTCAAACTTAAATAGGTTTGAAGATAGAAACTAGTTTGAGTTTGAAGTAAAGGTAAAGATAGAGCAGAAAAAAAAAATGTATTACGAGTTAAAAAAAAAAATATGATAGAGATATTTAGGGTATGAATAAACCAATAGATAGAGGAAAAGATCACCACGAAGGAATACTGAAAGGAAAACATGACAGCAGAATAGGTTGAGATCCAGCAGGCGACCAAGGCGAGGCTGCCGCCCGCCGGTGAAGCGAAATTACTAGGTTCTTAACCTAGCTCTGATACCATGTTAGAATAGTAGAGAGAGAGGAAATATTATGTATTGTATTGAATGAATTGTATTGAATGGAAGACCTATATATATAGGCTGAGAAAGAGTATCATACTAAAAATCTAACTATGAGAAAGAGTATCCTATAAGAGACCTAACTATGGCAATACCTAATATATCTAGGAAATCAATACCTAATATAGATAGGAATATATACCATATATACATTAACAGTCATGAAATGAATTAGGTCACTAAACGAGTTCAAATCATTGCTAAAGTGACATATTGATGACAACACATCGTTCCTAAAAGTCACAGTTTGAGATAAATATGTTCAATGCAAATAATACTGTAAAGATAATGTGAATTAGTCATCTACCTAACATTGATACTCATAGCTAATATGTTTAATTTTTAGAATTTTCTCTTTTTAAAATTAGAAAAATTATCAATTTAATTTTTTTTTTTACAAAAGGTTCAATATTTTTAGGAAAAGACCAAAATAACGTCAACATATAGTTTGATCACAAAATGCATCTAAGTCATCCTTTGCAGTAATGATTTAAGGGAAAGTCTAATGGCTAAGATTGAGCCACATCATTAAAAGTGACCTGCTTAAGAGGTCACTTTTTATAGTTATGAGCCAAAATCACATTTTTTCATAACTATAATAAAATTGATCATAACTTAGTCATAACCACATCTCATAACCAACACCATTTTGTTCATATTAATATCACATATTTCATAATCACATCTCATAACCAACACTATTTTGCTCATAACTAATATAACATATTTCATAACCATAATCACATATCTCATAACCACATCTCATAACCAACCCCTTTGAGTCATAACCAACATCGCATATTTCGTAACCACTAGTCACATATCTTATACCAGCACCTTTTTTTATTTTATTTTTTATAAACAACATTACATATCTCATAACCATTAGTCACATATCTCATAACTAACACCATTTTGCTCATAACCACACCACTTTGATTATAACCAATATCACATATCTCATAACTATTGATCACATATCTCATAACTATTATCCACATGAATCATAACCACATCTCATAACTAACCCCTTTGAGTCATAACCAACATCATATATCTTATAACCACTAGTCACATATCTCATAACTAACAACTCTTTTGCTCATAACCACACCACTTTGATCATAACTAATATCTTATATCTCATAACCACTAACACATATAGCATAACTAAACACCCTTTGACACCGCTTTGCTCATAATCAAAATCACATATCTTATAATCACTAATCAAATATCTCATAACCATTACCCACATATCTCATAACCAACATCACATATATCATAACTGCTAATCACATACCTCATAACCAGACCACTTTGATCATAACCAATATTACATATCTCATAACCACTAATCACATATCTTATAATCAAACACCCTTTGACTTATAACTACATCACTTTGCTCATAATTAAAATCACATATCTAATCATCACTAATCATAATCTCATAACCTTTACCCACTTATGTCATAACCACACCTCATAACCAACACCATTTGCCTCATAACCAACATCACATATATCATAACCACTACCTACATATGGGGGTGTAAATTTGGCACACGAGCTCGCGGCACATCCCAAGTCCAATTGCGCCCTGGGTGGGCCCAACCAGGCCTGAGCCTAAGCCCAACCTAAGACCCTGGGCTATGTGTTCTAGAGCCCGGCCTAACTATAGGGATGACACTGCAAAATTAATTGAGAGAGTTGAGAGTTCAGAGATAATGAGAGTTTGAGAGACAGATTTGTTTGTGAGAAATAAAATGAGAAAGGGGTGGTATTTATAGGACTTGGGAGGGAGGGGTTAATATATATATATATATATAAATATAAAATAAAATTAGTTGTTGGTGGAACTGGCGGTTATATCACTCTTTTAATTTTATTTTATTTTAATTTTTGATCGTTGCACTAACAGGGAGGGCAGGGAGCTGTTGGGTTGGGTCGCGCCAGATGGGGAAAAAAATTTTAGGTCGAGCTCACGAGATGAGTCACACTCCATTTTTTTTTCCATGTATTATACTTTGGTCCATCTGGAAGCTAAGGAATGAATGTTTGTTCTGTGGAGTGCAACCAAGTGTATTTGAGTTAGGTGAGCTGATAAAGATTAGATTTGCTTTATGGGTTAAAGCTGCGGTAAAAAAGATCAGGTACTCTGTCTTGGAGCTAACCACCAATTTGGCTCAGGTTAAGGAATGCATTTGAGGAAGGCCATGGTTTCTATTTAGCTTATAGCCTGCTCACTACTAGAAATACACCTTTTTGCGTCTGTTTTTTTGCGACTGATTATATGACCGTCGCAAAAAATCATTTTTTATATGAGAATTCCATTTTACTTGACCAAATCATGTTCTTAACTTAATAAAATAAATAAATTAAAATTAAAAAAACCAAATCAGTAAAACTTGACCTATGTGCCGTTTTCTCTTATTTCCCAAATCTGAACTCTTTATCTCTCTCTCTCTCAAAATTTGTCTCTCGCTTGACTCTCACTCAAATCTCACTGTCTCTCTCGCTCGAATCTCACTTTGATGAAGATTTGAAGATTATGATCGATTGTTGTCTCTCTCGCTCGAATCTCACTTTGATGAAGATTTGAAGATTATGATCGATTGTTGACGAAGATTTGAAGATTTCAATCTGCTGTTGATGAAGATTTCGATCGAATCATAATCGAGATTCATAATCGGTAATCCTAAACACTTCTCTTTGTCTCTCTCTAATGTTTGACATATCTTCATCGATTCAACTCTCTCTGTAATTTCGGCGCTTTTCCGGCGAGTTTACAGTGATCTCTAGCTCTGATTTTGAGTGTTTTTTTTCTTTCTTTTCTTCTTGGTGCAGTGGATCCCAAAACAACGCTTTACACCTGAGCTATAGCGCACTTGTGCTGGTTTGCTCGTGATAGTGCCTCGTGAAGGCGAGCGCGTGTTCTATTTTCCTCAAGGACATATTGAGCAGGTTAGTTTCCAACTCTAGGCAATCGTATCCGAAGTTCTTTGTTTCTCTCAGAGGTTAGATTCATTAGGATTTCTCATAATGCTTTATAATTTTATCAGTTTTGTCTCTCTTGGTTGTGCATCTCCAATTGTTCATCAATTTTTTCATCAGATTCAAATTTGATGAAAAAATGGCTCCAAAATGATTGATTATTGATGAAGAATTATGTTTGATGGATATGTTTGATTATTTTCAGTCATCAAAATGATATGACTCCAATTTTGCCATCATACAATGATTTTAGGAATTTCTAAATTTTTATATTTATTATGTTGTGATCTAGAACTAGCTGATTATTATTGGTACGATCCATAATATATTCTTAGATACATATCTGATCCTGAATCAGGGCGACTGACTTTGGGGTTAGATTGGGAAGTGTTTTTAATGGTTAGTGGTTTGTGAAGTTAGAGAGGGTGACCGGGGGGGTGAATGAAGTGCCATCACCAAGAAAACTGGTGATCTTTTTCTTCTTTGCCCTGTTTGTGTGGAAAGGTAAAGAGATTTGGGTATTGGCTTTGCAATATTTGCTCCAAAAAGCAGAGAAAGCTATGCCAAATTTAAGATTGTCATCTGTTACTGGTTCAATGAATCATACAAAAGTGACTAGTCATTTTAACGGATCAAACATAAGATTACATCCCTGTCAAAGGTAAGGATTAATTGACCGAGGATCTTTTATCCTTAATTTCTTCTGTTGTTTTTGTAATTAGATCATAGGAATCTTGAAACATAATTCAATGGTTGTGAAGTGTTTTGAGATTTGATAAATATCTCATAAACCTGATTTAGTTCTGTGCAAATCTCAGGAAAATCTTAAAATTTGAAATTCAAAACATGACTCGCTTTATTAATAGTTATACTTTGTAAACTTAATTAAAATTGAATTTGAATGAGTTGAACATAAGTAACCGTTTAAATGCCTCCACTATTATTATCATCACCTCCACTATTATTACCATCACCTCCACCACTCCATTAATGCTACCACCATCACCACTACCACCACTAACACAAAGAAAAGTTTGATCCCAAATGCAATTCTCAATTACTTTGGGTACTTTTCCAGAAAAAATGTAAGATAAGATAAGAAAAAAATCTAAGAGTTAGATAGATGACTAATTGGAAATACTAGAATGGAGTTAAATTAAGATGAAATTTTAGAAGGGGGCAAGGTAAAAGTTACTTAGACGTTGGGAAGGAGGCAAACTACTATTTTTTGTTATAAATATCCAAAAAAATGTATTGGGCCCCTTAAATTTTCTAAAGTTTTGGAGGCCATGGACCCCATGTGCCTCTTCTGTGTCTTCCATTGCATGTAATTGTTGCTAATATATTGTTAACTTATTGTGAATATGGCAGCTGGTGGTGCTCAAACAAACTCCACTACAAGATCGAATCCTGCTGGGGATGCTAGGCTGCCGGCAGTTGGTGGCCTTGGTAGTCTTGGTCTCCCAGAGATGTTTGGTTCCATGCAGGATACTGCTTCATTAAGTTAGTTTGCACAAAATCCAGTTGTATCACAGATGATGCAAGTTCTCCTCTCCAACCCTCAGTACATGAATCAGGTAGTAATTTCCTTTGTTATGCAATTTGCTTTGTATTTGAATGTGAAGTTTCTTATTCCCTAATGCTTTTCAATTGTTAGATTCTTGGTCTCAATCCCCAGCAGAGCAATATGCTGGGTTCCAATTCCCAACAGTATTGATCATGTGGCTTGGTAGGTTGTTAAAACATCATCAGATAAGTTTTTGCTTGTTCCTGACATCTTAGTGTATATTTATGAAGGTCTTTAAGATGAATGCTAATGTGATGCTCAATATTGCTGGAGCTGATTGGAGTTAAATTTATTTGATGTAGGACACAATAATTGGATTTTTACTGGCTGGAGTAGGCAATGTGGATTTGCAGAGAAAGACAAATTACCTAATTGTGGACTCAAGTATGCTTTTGAGCTCCAAATGTTCTGAAATTTTTAATGTTTCAGGCATTATTGTGTTGGATTTCTGTGATTACCTCTTTCATATTAAGAAAGTTGCATTTTTTTTTGTGTATTGTTTGTCTTCCGTTGTTTCCAGTTCTGGAGTGAACATTCCATGCTATCTTAAAGAATATAATCAGCAATAATGTGACTGGCTTTTGATGTTTTTTCATGTGGTAGTTGTTTTGGGAGTAGTTCTCACTAAAATAACTTGCATATCATGAATTGAAAAGCTATCTCCAATAAATGACTAAATGGTCAACATACTTTAATTTTATGATAAAATCATTAAAGCCTACTAGTTACTCTTGTCATTTATGTTGTAGATTTTGTTTCTCTGCAACAGAATGAGCAGCTAAGGAGATTCAAAATTTGCTGTAAAATTGGAGAGAGAGAGAGAGAGAGAGAGAGAGAGAGAGAACTTGAAACTACATGGGTTTCAGATGCTGTTATACAGCTCCAAATTTTTGTTCTTGACCTGTATCCTTAGTTATGGAATTAGAATCTGTCCTTTCCCGCGAATTAATTTCAATTCAATTGAATTTTTGGATATTCTTATTTTGGCTTATAAATGTTCTTTTATTATGGCTTAGAAACAACTGTTAAGAAATTGAAGAAGCATTCAAGGAGTTTACAACAAGAGAAGACGTTGTAATAGTGATGATCAGCCAATATGTAAGTTTTTGTTCTACTCTGTCATATTTTTGATTGATTTTAATGCTCTTCTGTGGTATGACTTATGCATATGATTATAGTGCATGCTTATACCCTATCAGATGCATCATGAGCACACTAAGATGCTTCTTTTTTCTTTTTCTTCTTTATTTAAATTCTGTCATGTGAATGAGAAAAAATATTAAAAGTTTATGATGAATGAATATGGGTCGTGTCACAGATTTAGCATGTTACATTAATGTTTTAGTCAATGGAAGTTTGGTGCTGAATTTACTAATGCTTCCTAAACTTCAAGTTAAACCTTTATTGCAACATTCATATAAATCACAAAGTCCCACAATTATTATAGTCTGGTAGTAAGAGACGAATGAGTACATTGATTTTGTGGTGGTGTGATTTTTCATTTGTCATTTGATTCTGTGGATAAAACATTGTCTAATGTAACAATGTTCATCTTCAGGTTGTAAACATGATAAAGTTTTTAGTAGATAGCTACAACAATCCAATTCCAGCAATTTTGAAGATTCCTTCCAAGGACCATCCTTACGATCCAACACATGATTCTGTTCTTTCAAAGTGAAGTACCTTTTCTTTGATTTTCCCATTTTACGTGTTGTATGCTTGAATGTTCTTTCTTTCTTTATTTATTTCTAATTTGGATTTGCAAATTCTAATAGTTTAGGCGTCACATGACCATTAATTTGTTATTAATGTAACATTTTTCAGGTTTTTATTTTTTTGGTCAAATTGATGAAATGAAATATTTGAAGCTTGACACTTCATCTGTCGATTTTGTGTTTCAGATGCTAGTTGATGATATTGGTGATCACTACTAAAAAATTGATATTGGTGATCACTGGGTGGTCACATTGGCATTTTTTACGTAGAACAATAGGATTATCCATTATTTATGCTCTACTTTAGAATTGTTGTTTAAAATTCGAATTTTTTTCATGGGAGGGGTAGGGTGGGTGGTGGTTTTATAGACATTACTTGTGATAAAGGCTAACTGAGAGATTAAATTTGGTTCTACCTTGACATAGTATTATGGAAATTACTGGAATAATTCTTTAAAAAATTGTTGTTACTAGAATAGAAATAATTAATATATTTGTTCTTCTGCACATTTCGGTGGAAAATAGAATTGGCTACTACATTAATGTTATGTTGACATTTGACAAGCATTGACAATTCTTGGAGATCTGAGGTTCTACTGCTTGCTGGGGAAAGGACTGGGGTAAGGATAGGGTGTGGTGATGTTGTAGGGTTTTTAGTGTAATAATGAAGGATCGGTGGGTGGGGAAATTGTTGATTTACAGACCTTTTAAAGATACTAGGACCTCATTTTGGTTGACACATCAAATTGTATCATGATACATACTTTGTCTAGATTTTGTAGTTGATTTGAACTTTTTCTTATTCCAGCTTGGCTGTCTGTGATCTGTCCAATTTAGTGAAGCCTCAGGATATCATCATAACAGAGCATTTGACAACCCTCCTTGCTATTGTCCCTAAATACTCACAGAAAGATTGGTTGTCAAGCTACAAGACACTCACCGCTTATGTGGTAAAATTCCCTTTGTTGTTTATGATGTCACCTTATTTTGTAATCATGACTGTCAGTTTATTATTTGAATTTGAAATTGCATGGTAGCTTTAATTGCTACACCACAGATGTAATTGGCAAGTTCACCGAGGATTAGAGATTTGTGCTTGTTACGTATTTTACGATTCAGAAGTGCCATCTTTCTTGGTCATGTATTGTATCAATGTTTGAAGTAATGGAATGTATATAAAAAAAAAACTACTTTTTGATTGAACCAATCGTTTTAGGTCCCCAGATCTTCCACGAAGCTACATGAGGACAATGAATATGCTCTTTATACTGTAACACTGTTCAGTCGTGATGCTGACAACTTTAGAACCAAGGCACGCGACAGAGGTTTTCAAGTGAGTTTGTCACTCAAGCAGCCCTTGTGTTTTTTGATGCCTGTTATGATAACAATTTTAGCTTCTGTTTTGTTGAAATTCAAGAATTTCTAGCTCCTATTCTCTGGTGAGATAAGTGGATGAATAATATGTCAAATATAACGATCTCAATAGCAGGTGCCTTCTTATGTATTGCATATTTGATTTTGCTTGTGATTCAGATTCGTGACTTTGAATATAATCCAGAAACACAAGAGAGTCGGAAGCAGGAGCTAGAAAAATTAATGCAAGATCAGGAAACACTCAGAAACTCTCTTTGCAATGGTGCTATGCAGCTATGGGGAGGTACTATTTTTTGTAAAACTTTCTAACGGTGTTAGGTGGTTCTTCATAATATTTGGAATTGGATCAAACCAGTGATAATGAAATGAAATTATTTATCTTTGGGTAAATTACACTCTACCCCTCTGTGGTTAGGTCAAAAAACAGAGAGTCCCCTTGAAGTTCGATTTGGTACAATGAACACCCCTTGGGGTTAATACCAAATGGCAAAAATGAGGTTTGCTGTCAAAATTAACCACACATGGTACTTCAATTTGGTCATACCAGTAGTTATTTAATTGTTTTTTCCTTTTTGTTTATTTATTTTTATTTTTTGACAACTCCACTAGTACCTGTCACATGCTAGTAAAATCCTATAGACAAATTTTAGATTAGCCCGATATTTGTACATTCTAGCGAAGCTATATACATACCTTGACAGCTGCACATTAGCTTATGTAATTTTAGTTATAGTATGCATTTGAGATTCTACTCTTATGTGCTATATTGACAGGAAGTTCCTTAGCTTTCAGGTTGATAACTTGAATTTCTGAGGGAAATGAGGATCAACCCAATAAAGGTTGGTTTTTTTTAATTTGGCAATAGATTACACTAGTAGTTCTATTATACATATTATAGTTCCCGCAATCCTTCTTGTTTCACTTGTTTTTGTTCTGATAACCAGAATTTTGGTTATATTTTCTAGTCTTTCTTATGTTCATGTGACATAGAATAATTATGTGTGTGCTTGCTTACACATGCACATGCGCTCCAAAAATTAACCCCATGAATCTGGAAGGATTTCTGCCCTCACCTTTATAGTGAAATAATTCATCTTTGTTGCTTGTGACATTTTGGTTGGCATAAAATATAGGTTGCCAAAGCATTGGTGGAAGTGTTTGCTGAAATGATTTTGATGAATATGGGTACAAGGTGTTATGCCAGTTCATTGATAGAGTGGAGAAACACCTGAGCAAGAAAATTGATGAGAAGATTGGCCAGTTCTGGATTGTATTTTTTTCATAAAAGAACTTTTTCCAAGTTTTTAGTTGTAATAACTTTTACATGTAGCTCAAATTTTGATACTCAAATAGAATGTTCAATAAAACTATAATGCTATACTGTCTGAATTCTTGTCATTGTTATTCCTAGAGTGCTTAACGCTACACTTTTATTTATTTATTTATTTTTATTTTTATTTTTAATTTTTTGCGACGGTAACAAGATGGTCGCCAAAGATCATGTTAGTGTTTTTCTTTGTTTTTTGCGACGGCAAAATAGCGGTCGCCATAAGTAGTTTAGGTGGTCGCAAATAATTTGCAATCGTTGTTTTGCCGTCGCAAAAAGTATTTGCCACCCCCATATTCGCGACCCCCATTTGCCGTCGCATGTTTTTTATTATTTGCGACGGTTTATAGCGGTCGCAAAAAGTGTTTTTTTTAGTAGTGTGAGTTTTGGATTCTGGACTGGCTTTGGGGTGTATGGTCTGATATAATCTGATGGAGCTGCTGTAGGTATATTGCTGTGTGTTAATCTGATGACTGCTGCTGTTGCTGGAAATTCTGCTGTGTGTATGCTTCTGTAGTGGCTATCTCTTTAACAAAGGGGTGTGCTAATCTGTCACTCCCTGGAGGCTAATCTGATGCTGTGATTTCTGCTGTGTGTATGGTTCTGTGAGTGGTTACCTCCGTTGGTTCCTCACCAACAGGGTTTTGGTTTGGTGATACCATGTGATGGCTTGCTTTTTTCCTCTCTTATGTTGATGTTTCTTCCTTCTTGTAAGGTTTCCATCATCAATAAAGGGATCTTTGTTGTTGATCAAAAAAAATGGAGTGTGACTCATCTCGTGAGCTCGACCTAAAATTTTTTTCCCCATCTGGCGCGACCCAACCCAACAGCTCCCTGCCCTCCCTGTTAGTGCAACGATCAAAAATTAAAATAAAATAAAATTAAAAGAGTGATATAACCGCCAGTTCCACCAACAACTAATTTTATTTTATATTTTTATATATATATATATATATTAACCCCTCCCTCCCAAGTCCTATAAATACCACCCCTTTCTCATTTTATTTCTCACAAACAAATCTGTCTCTCAAACTCTCATTATCTCTGAACTCTCAACTCTCTCAATTAATTTTGCAGTGTCATCCCTAAGTGACAATTGCAATTGATTACCTATCTCTATTTTAGATTTATTTTTAGTCATAGTAGCTTCATTAAATATAATAGAAATAGTAATATACAAACGATATACTTTTTAAAATATCTATATACACTTATAAACATATATATATATAAAATTTAACTAAATTTTAATAAAAAATATGTTGAAAAAAATTTTCTATGACGTGATTTTATTTTGTTCTACTAAATAAATTTTCTCCTAAATTTTTTCCCCTAGCTTTTCTTTGTTTTTTTCTCTATTCTATTTTCTTTCCCTTGATTTGTCCTAGTTGTGTTTGAGCTCTCTCTATTTCTTACTCATACTTCTCTATTTCACTCAAATTATCGAATGACCATTGTTGATAGTTCTTCCTCACTGGATTTTTCTTTTCTCTACTCTTGTGTCTCTGCAATAGATCCTTGAACTTGTCACTATTCTCTTTGTCTATTTCAACACTATTCATTCTGGTGATATTTTTTCTAACTAGTAAATGCATCTATCTCGAAACTCTAGCTTTTCACATTAATATGTCATACATACACAAACCTTTGGTCATAGTTATGATTTGAAAGGTTTTGTTATCATCAATTTGTACATGTGTTATAGAATTGTTGAAAAATGAATATTACGCATTTTGTTGTACTGTTATGCTATCTTGGTCATCTTCATCCCTCAAGCATCTCTCTCATTATTTACTATCATTGTAGATATCTCCGATGTTCCTTATCGGAAACGACAACACCTTTGACGTCATTTTCATAGGTGATAAGCCCATTCAGTTTCTCTTTCTTATATTCTCTTTCCTCTCGCTCTACTAGCTAATCTTCTCTAACTCTCATTTTCTGTTCCATGGCTTTAAGTCGTTGATTAAATTATTTAATAATTGTCATTACATTTTGTTTTCTCTGTATTATGAGAGATCTCGATTGGTGATTCTAAGATTTTTAGTGATTTGTTTAGTCATTTTATGATAATTATTATGAAACTTTGTTGCTTGATTACAATATTTGTGGTTTATAAAAATTTTTGGATATTTTTGCTACATCAATTAATTGTGTTGTTACGCATTTTGTAATTAATGTTATGAAATTTTTTGGGTTGGTTATGACATTTGTGATTTGTAAAAATTTTGATTATTTTTATTATGGCAATTAGTGGTGCAAATTTTGTAGTTGATGTTATTAAATTTTGTGAGATGGTTATGACATTTGTGGTTTTTAAAATTTTTAGATGTTTTTGTTTCACCAATTAGTGGATAGTTACATAATTTTTGGTTAATGTTATGAAAATTTGGGAATTAGTTACGACATTTGTGATTTTCTATAATTTTAAACAATTTTGTTACTCTAATTAGTGATGGGGTTATGTGTTTTATGTTTTATATTACAAAACTTTGTGACTTGATTATAATATTTGTGATTTCTAAAATTTTAAACATTTTTATTATGCCAATTAATGGTGTGATTATACATTTTGTAGTTGATGAGTAAAATAGTCTCTTTATTTATTTATTAATTTTACTTAATAAAAATAGATGAAGGATTTATATAAAAAATAAAAAAATTAATTATAAATTGAAAAAATTATAAATTAATAATTTATTTTATTATAATACTCTAGTCATAAATGTTTTAATTTTTTTTTATAATGATTATTATATAATTTCGGCCCCATTTTCTCCAAAAATTTGTAACAAAAATCCAAATTTTGTCAAAATCAAAATTCCCTCATTAATTATTTTTGACAAATCCCTAGACCCTTTCTTTACCCCAAACGAGAGAGAGAGAGTAATTTATGGACTTGACCCTAAACGAGAGAGAGAGAGAGAGAGAGAGAGAGAGAGAGAGAGAGAGAGTAATTTCTGGACTTGGGTTGTGCCGTGAGCTTGTGGGCCAAATTTACACCCCTATATGTGAGTAATGGTCATGAGATATGTAATATTGGTAATGAGACAAATGGTGTTGGTTATGGGATGTGGTTATGACATAAGTGGGTAAAGGTTATGAGATATATGATTAGTGATTATTAGATATGTGATTTTGGTTATGAACATAGTGATGCAGTTATAAGTCTAAGGGTGTTTGGTTATGAAATATGTGATTAGTGGTCATGAAATATGTAATGTTGGTTATGATGAAAGTGGTGTGGTTATGAGATATATGATTAGTAGTTATGATATATACGATGTTGGTTATGAAATATGTGGGTAATGGTTATGAGATATTTGATTAGTGATTATAAGATATGTAACTTTGGTTATGAGCAAAGTGGTGTCAAAGAGTATTTGGTTACGCTATATGTGTTAGTGGTTATGAGATATGTGATATTAGTTATGATCAAAATGATGTAGTTATGAGCAAAAGGGTTGTTAGTTATGAGATATATGATTAATGGTTATGAGATATGTGATAATGGTTATAACTCAAAGGGGTTGGTTATGAGATATGTGATATTGGTTATGAACAAAATGGTGTTAGTTATGAGATATGTGACTAGTGGTTATGAGATATGCGATATTGGTTATGAAAAAAAAGGTGTTGGTTATGAGATATGTGATTAGTGGTTATGAGATATGTGATGTTTGTTATGAGATATGTGACTAGTGGTTATGAGATATGTGATGTTGGAACTCTTGGACTTCTTTGATTTCCTTTGCCCTCTTTTTGGTAACCGTTTACACCGGTTGCCAATTCAAAATTAAATTATTAAAATAATTTAGTTATGAGGTAGTTATGAGATAATATAATATGTATGAATAACTAAATATAACTATGTTATGAGTTAATATGATAATGGTTATGATTTATATGATATTAGTTATAATATAAAATCACATATCCTTATAACTGATGTATGGTACATTCAAATGTACCATAGCATCACCCATGATTTAAAATCATTGCTAAAAGTGACATAATTGACCATTACACATCATCCCAAAAAACTACATTTTGGGATGAATATCTTCAAGGTTAATACTTGTGTAGTATCAATGGTGCCAATGTAAATCACTCTAGCTAGCCATTTTATCTTGCGTTTTTTGACTAGACATCCCACAAATGCAACTGCACAACAGAAAATCCATTAATTTCTGTTAACCCGTGAAATCCCACGCGCATCAAAAAGTCCATAATATCCATCATTAAATTACGCATCTTTAAATTGCGAGATGAGTGACACACTATTAAAATCCAAAGAACTTTCCACTGATGTAACAATTTCTCCAAATCACCCAAACAAATGTATAGTGCAGTAGGAGATAGGTAGCCGATTCAACCATTTCTGAACAGAAGGGACACTGAAGCATTAAAGCTGTATTTGGTTTAAGAATTTAGAGAGGAATTTACAAAGAAAAAGAGAAAATGTAGGTGAAATGTGAATAAAATATACCTATTTCACATACATTTTCTCTTTACATTTTCAAATCTCTCTCCAAATCCATGTGCCAAACACGGCGTAAATGGTACATGAAAAATATTCTTAAGTAAAATTATTTCACTTTTAGGCTTATAGCTTCTTATTCTGAATGGCTTTCCAATAGAAAATTTCCATTGGATGCACCCAAAAAAGTCAAAGTGGAAAAAAAAAAAAAAAAATGTATAGTTTCCTCCATAGTAGATGTGGAAGCTTTCGTGAATGCTCACTTGTATCAAAATCCTTTGCACAAATATCATAAGAAGATTTAACTCAAACGAATCTCCTTTGTTCTACTGCCATCTTTTTTATTTTTTATTTTATTTATTTATTTATTTATTTTTGAAACAGCGAAAAAGACTTTATTGATGATCACCAAGCAACACAATTACAAGAGTTTATATTAATAAAGACTGAGGGCGCAAAAAGCATCACAACTACACTAACCAATCCCAATTAGGTCAGCACCGAACTAGCAAATCCAATCATCTATTAGTACCACTCACGGTTGGAGAGGATCCAACCACGAAAGCAACAACTATGTTAGAATAGTAGAGAAAGAGGAAGTAAATATGTATTGTATTCAATGAATTTAATTTCTATACAATGGTCCCGTTTCATGTAGCTGTTAAAACATATTATAGATTATAGTTTAATAGATTATAGATTATGATTTTAATCAGAAGCTGTTAATTTATTTGGTGTTGCTGTTGGATTATAGATTTAAGTTGCTGAGTAATGTTTGTTAAATAAGCTGTGAAGTAGCTTTTTCAATTAACTTTTGTTTTTTGTTATTTACTACTTGTTTACATTTCTCATAAAAAATAATAATAATATTCTATAGTCCATTTGGGTCTTTTTCTATTTTAAAAAAAATAAAAAATAAAAAAATCTAAGAGTATAACTGTAAATTAACATGTACACAACAGAAGTTAATAATCAGAAGTAAGTGGTGAGCAGTTTCTCAGAATCAACTTTTTTGACTTAAAATAAGTTGTTAGAATCAGAAACTGTTTAAAATAAGTTTAACTAAACAATCTAAAATAGTTTTTCAAAAGCCAGAAGTCATAAGTTGGCTCAAAAAAGTCCAAACAAACACCCCCAATAGAAGGCCTGTATATATAGGTTGAGAAAAAGTATCCAACTAGAAACGTAACTATGAGAAAGAGTATCCTATAAAAAACCTAATTATGGCTATTCCCAAATATATTTGGGAAATCAATACCTAATATATATAGAAATACCACACATACATTAACATGCCCCCTCAAACTTAAGGAGGATAAACATCTTGAGTTTGGAGAGAGAAACTAAAATATGAAATAAAACTAAATAAAATAAAAGGCAAATAGATTGCAAAAGTCGAACGGTAGCGCAAGGGTGCTTGAAATAGATCAGAGGCCAGAACTAATGTCGGAAGACAGTTTATGGTCGTGTTAGACTATTGTAGGAACTGGCCGAAACTAATGCCAGGGCAGTTTAAGGTTGTGCTTGACCGATATAGAAACTGGCTAGAACTAGTGCCGAGATCAGAGGCTGGAACTAATGCCTAGAGACAGTTTATGGTCATGCTAGATCGTTGTAGGAGCTAACCGGAATCAATGTCGGGATAGTTTAAAGGGGTCATGCCAGACTGATGTAGGAGCTAACCAGAATCAATGCTGAGACAGTTTAAAGGGGTCATGCCAGATTGATGTAGGAGCTAACTAGAATCAATGTTGAGACAGTTTCAAGGGGTCATACCGAACCGATATAGAGAACGGATGTTGAACCAGTAAGCGTGGCACACACATAACTTATGACGTGGTACTGAACGATGATGGCAACAGAGGACTGAGTGTGCCAGTGATTGGATATTGAATCAGGGGGCGACTTTGGTGGTGCGCCAGGGGTGGCTTGGGTTATGTGCCAAAGAGGGCGGTTTGGATTGTGCGCCAGAGGGGCGGCTTGGGTTGTGCGCCAAAGAGGGCGGCTTAGATTGTGCGCTAGAGGAGCTGGCTTGGGTGGTGCGCTAAGGGGTGACTTTGGTGGTGCGTCACAGAGGGCGACTTGAGTCGTATGCCATAGAGGACGGCTTAGGTGGTTTGCATGGTGTATAACCATGTTCACTATGACATAGGTGTAATACCCCTCTCAAATGCAAATAGGTTTGAAGATGGAAACCTATTTGAGGTTGAAGTAGAGAGAAAGACAGAGTGGGAAAAAAAAATGGATTGCGAGTAAAAAAAAAAAATGATAGAGATATTTGGAGTAGGAATAAACCAGCGAACAAAGGAAGAGATCATCACGAAGCGATACTAACAGGAAAATATGACAGCAGAATAGGTTAAGGTCTGGTGGGGGGTCAAGGCAAGGCTGCCGCCTGCTAGTGAAGCGAAATTACAAAATACTTAACCTAGCTCTGATATCATGTTAAAATAGTAGAGAGAGAGGAAATAATATGTATTGTATTCAATGAATTTAATTCCTATACAATAGAAGGCCTGTATATATAGGCTGAGAAAGAGTATCCTATTAGAAACCTAATTATGAGAAAAAATATTCTATAAGAAACCTAACTATGACTATTCTCAAATATATTTAGGAAATCAATACCTAATATATATAGGAATATCACATATACATTAACAAAGTAGAAGCTACAAAACAACAAAGTAAAAACTACAATACAAACACCTTACACCCTTCGACCTATAATGCACCTTCTCACTTGCCTAAGATTAAGCAAAAAATCCTGAACTGTGAAATTATGCTCCTCATCTTAATGCATCATTTTGGTCAATAAGGAAATGGAAAATGTCTAATAATTCTAGCATTCTTGCAACCAATTCTTCTTCCCATACAAATAATCTTCTTGTTGCTTAATCTATGACACAAGATCAAGATCTGTTCCAAAATTTGATTTCACATGGTCCGATGTTAATTAGGTTCAAATTTAAAGAAAATCAAATTATGTGATAGTGAGTGATGGAATATACATGGCAACAAACCACATTTTGTGTGTGTGAAGTGTCATCTCTAATTTAGCCAGAGTGCACTATCAAAACTCAAAATATGCTCAAATCATAACAAAAGTGTGTGCCTTGGACAAATTAGGTAAGATTAGATCCTTTTTACATTTTATATTCATGATTATTGATAGATAGTAATTTTTTTTCTTATGAAAATGCTATGATTGATTGCTTTTATTTGCGTAATATTCCCCTTTTCCCTAAACATAATGGCTGATTGTTCTTATTCCACCACACACTTAAATGCTTGTACTTCAAGGGTGGCAAGAACTTCAAAATTGGATTGACAAACTAAGATACCACATATCATACATATGTCAGTATTGGACCAATTACGATGGAATGACATATGTTCTAACCAAACTCCTACCGAGGATGTACCTATAATCCATCATCTAAATGCACAAGTTTAAGATAATTCTTTTGTCAAATACAAGCTACAATAGAAGTATCTTTAGTTATTACATCTTTAAATAAATTTGTATATTATGTGGGAAAAAAATTGGACCTATGCTGATGATAATGGGATCAACAAAGAGATGTTGAATTCAACAAATACATAATTTCTAAACGAGTAATTGGCTAGATTGCCCAAGAAAAGACTTGGAATTAGAAAAAAAACACATAAAATAAAAAAATAAAAAATAAAAACAGAGAACAATGAAATTTAGAAAAAAAATAATCTAAAACTCCTACAGGGATTATCCTATTCAAGAACAAAGCATAGACTCATGGAAAACATATATTTAACTTTTCACTTACAAGGTAAAATATATAATGGAAAACATTTGGCGACAAATATGATTTTTCATTTCAAAATCTTGTTCACTTTTTGAACAAAATGAAAAAGTAAAATTCTATTTTTCAAGAATTCTTATATAAAATAGTCTACCAGAATGACGTAGTAATCACATTTTTCTACTTAAAAAGACAGCTATAAAACTATCAGGAACAATCTAGCTAACGAATTCCACGATGCTCAGGCTTTTAGCGGCTCCCACACCACGTGTTAATGTGGGAGCCACCAAACATGTAAGTATTTTGTAATTTGTTCAGAATATCAATATTAAATGATCAAATTTTTTGGAAGCAATGTTAGGGACCAAAAAAAAAAATTTATTAATTGTTTTTTATAAAATTCACAATTCTACGAGTATTGTGTAGATTTTTTGATAAATTTTTTAAGATCTCTACTATTTCTGTTCTTCTGAAAAGTAAAATGTAGTGGCATATGTAGTTTTTACAAACGAATGAAATCTATGAATATATCAAGATATGCTTCAAGATTAGCTTCCGATGACATGAGATCAGATGGGAAAGCCAATCACAGCAAAGCATCAGATCCTGTATGCTTTTAAGTGCTCTATCTAGATCATGCTATTCCATTCTCTTCATTTACAACCTTCAACTCATATCTCTTTAACTTGTTATTCTAATTCCTTTCTCAGTTGCACCCGGTTTGGATTGAGTGATTTGAAGAGAAAAAAAAAAAAAAGATTTTTTTTAATCTTAATTACTTATTTGGATTACTACAAGGGAAAGAAATTAGGCAAAATGAAAAGAGATCGAGACAAACTAGCTTGTGATTCTCTTCATTCCAAAATTGTAATGGAAGATCTCCATTATATTGTCTAAGGGTTTGTAATGATTCTTTTTAAATTTAAAATATTAATAAATTCTCATGTTTATTTCACAACCCTTAAACGATATATGGACATCTTCCATTACAACCTTAGAATGGAGAAGATCTCAGTCCTTTCTTAAGACCCAACTTCTTGAATCAAAGTGAAGAGATTGAGAGAGAAAAGAAAACGAGATGATCACCAAGTTTTATATTACCAAAATCGTCCATCTCGATACTAAAGAAATAAGGGAAAATTACAAATCAATTTGAACAATTCCGAAATAATATTATTCTCATGTGAGGCACAAGTCCTCCTGGGTGGGGTGCAAGCCTTTTCTTGAGATTGTGTTACTGATTTGTATTTTCTTTAAGAAATAAAAAACATAAAAAAAAATTTAGGTAACTTGTCCAAACAAAATAGGGGAGAAATCACTATTTTCTTTGCGCCTTTTTTTTTCCAGCTCAACCAAACAAGAGAGAGAGAGAGAGAGCTCACTAGCTATAAATAGCCTATGTTCATGGGCAGATAATACTTAAGACCAGCAAGTTTGATATATATACTTCTTTTACTATATATCTTTGTGTTACGGAGTGTGAAGAACAATGGCATCAATGAAGGCAGACAAACCAGTTGGGACTCAACTCTTTGGGCAGGCCAAGAAGGAGCCTGCAGTCAAGAGCAGTGATGGTGCATCCAAGGGTCCTGCATCAAAGGCAGCCCCGAAGAAGGCTGCCCCAAAGACCACTCCTGAACCTAAGAAGAAGGTTAGCCCACATTTACATACAAATACAATTATATATAGTCAAGTATCATATCTTCAAATCTCTCTATTTTTCCGTCTCAAAACACTTACATCCATTTGATCATGTGAAAATCACGAGGTACAAGAAACTCGAAACATGATTTAATGGCTATAAGTGTTTAAAACAAGGGGACAAAGAGATTAGTGTCCTGTTAGTAGGCTTATTTTCTTCAGTTATTGGACTAACCATTTGTAAAGCGTGACTAAAAACATCTCAAGATTTTGATTTGTCTGCTAATATACCAAAACTAACCCATAAAAATTCATGAAAGTGTCCAGAATAGAGTGTAACAACACTGCATTCATCCTGATAGAGTATGGACCCATTCAAAATGAATTTAGTGCTGTCAACAAAACATTTTGAACACTTTTATGAAAAATTGTTTGGGACTCTATTGTATCCCATATATGAATGTGGTACTAAGGTAACGCTTGGTTTATTAGAATAAAGATGAATCAAATAGTCATTCTAGTAGAATATTTATTTTCGTGTTCCTTTCACTAAAAAAAGATTTTAAAAAAATTGTAAATGGAATAATCAATCATTCACCATTATAAGTAAATGGTCATTCTATATGAAAATTAAGAAATGAACATTTTATTTCATTCTATTTTCATTTCAATAAACCAAACATGCCATAAGATATTCCAATCATTGCTGAAGCTACCTTGTAATATTATTTATTAACCAAGTGTTCAATAATTTTGCTTTTGCAGGCAAAGGGTGGTAAATCAGCAGCGAAGCATTAACATAATGCCCAAAGATAAATTGCATTGTATTTGCATAAAATTAAGGAGCCATATATGTTAATTAAGTTCTTCATATAGACCTAAATCCTTAATTTTGCTTTCGTTGTTTTTATTAGTCGTTGTGACCATATGTAAGTTGTCTCGTTTGGCTTGGCCTAAGAAATAAACATATATATATATTTGAGAACTATCTCTTGTATCATGTTATACATATCAATATATTTTTTGAGTGTAAGTTTTATTCTCTAGAAATTTCTGCATTTGATTGTACCTTCTCTTTGTTAGAAATGTGTGGCGGGCTCAACACACCTCAAATCACATTGAGAGAGAAGTAAATAGGAAAAAAATACTTCGAAACTTTCATTCCATTAAATCGTACACCGTACACTTCCATTTTCACCTCGCTTTCACTTCTGTACTTCCCTAAGTTCTCTATTTCATACATAGAATACTTAAAATGTGAAGTCAATAGAATACTAACCAATTTGGACTTACTATTCATGCTAAAACACTGTAGCACCGGCTACAAGTACTGCTTCTGGATAAGATAAACAATGCCTCCTTCCCTATCTTAAGTAATCTCCACCCCAATCAAATATCATAATATACATAAGTAATCTCCACCCCAATCAAATATCATAATATACAGAGACAAGTATGTCTATATAGTAGGTAAACCAGGCCTAAAGACAGAATAGTTTCTTAAAATTTTTCTAGAATAAAATATTAACTCGTAGGTTTTTTACTAATTTATAATTCTTATGAACTTATATTTTTATTTTTGCAATTCTTTCAGAGACTAAATATGTTTGAATTAAATACTTTAAGAATTTAATAGATTCAATTGATAATTAAAAACTAATTGATTTCACTAGCTGATTTTAAAAAAATTTAATTGATTTTAATGACTTATTTTGTTTTTACTTCCTTAAGTCAATGAATAAGAAAAATTTAATCGAGTCCACTAACTAGAACAAATTTCACTAATCAAGTCAGTGAAATTTTACTGAGTTCAACAAAGTTTTATTGATTCAAGTTAGTGAAATTTCACAGTCCTTTTTTTTTTATATTTTTATATTCGTCATAGATCTTAAGTAATAGATCACAACGAAGCAGTTTTAAAAATATAAATTTTATGAAAAATGAAATTTTGGATAACAAGTTATTGAATTTATAAATTTTGAAATCTTTCCAAATTACAAACAATGTGCGCCGTATGTATTCTCTGATTTCATGTGCTAACAATTAATAAGGGAACTATCATAAAAATAAAATAAAATTAGAGCCTGGTATAATAGGACTTTAACTATGAAAGTTTGTTTTGTATTCTTAGTAAAGAATTCTAATGAGGGAGATAGACAAAAAAATAATAATAATAAATAAATAAATAAATAAATAAATAAAACCCTTTTTAAAAAAAACTTAATTTTCAGTACTTAGTATTCAATTTTCAATTATTTTTTATTATTAACTTTGTCAAACATCAAAATGTGTTGTCATGCCCCTGGTTGCCAATTGGATAAATGCAACAGTCATACTATTTGGCATTGCACATCATAACACAGCATCTCTCTTTTAAAACTCATCGTGACCTATATAAAATAAGAAATAATATTTGATGAAACATTTGTTAATTTGATCTCTAATTTGTTGACCTTTTGTCATTAAATGGTCCTTATCTCTATTTCCTTCTATTATTAATACTGAAAGTAGGGACATTTTCATCCAACTATCTATGAAACTAAATTAATTAGAGACTAAATTCACATAATTAAAATTATATACTTTAGGAATTAACAATGTATTTAACTCATCCTAGTTTACTTTTTTTGCTAACGCATAAATGTGGATACACTGAATAATAAATAAATAAATAAGTAAATGAATGTGGATACAAAATTATACCTACTTTCATTATCATTGGTAGACGAAACGAAAGTAAAGATTATTCAATGATGCTGAAAAAAAAGAAAAAAAAGAAAAAAAAACTATTCAATGACAAAATTAATAAGATGAAAATTAAATTGATATATTTAAATTTAAAATATCATTGACTAAAATGACGTATGACACATATTTTGGAGTTTTTTTTTTTTTTTTTTTGGGGGGGGGATGGGTGGTTGGTGTATTTAGCCCCAAACAAAATTGAGTGATGCTATGATTCTAAAAATTTTATCTCAAATTTTGCTCAGAATATCAATTTATGGTTTAAATTTATTTCATGCTTGAACTCCATACTATATTAATTCAATCCCCACCAAACAATCACATTACCCAGAAAAATCTGGGTAGATTTGTCTGGGACAATAGCATATTACACAACAAAATTATACGTAGAAAGAGATTTGGAAATAGTATGAGAAAATATCATTTTACCTCTCAAATTATCACTCAAAAATTAATTGAATCACTACTTTTTTTTAATAATATTAATTTTGTACATAAACTATTCAATTTTGCATCAATTTTACCCTCACTGTCAATTATCGTCTATAATCAAATAGGAGTTGTTGACGTGATTGTAATAACCCCGACCTCCGATTAATGCTAAACTATGATTATTTATGCCTAACAGTAATTTAGAAGGAATCCGGAATTAAATTGCATATGTATTGCATTATTTTTGTGTTTTTATCTGTTTGCCATAAAATGATCTGTTCATGTTTTGACTTTAAACAGCGAATTGAAAGCCTTATTGGCGACCGATTCAGAAATTGAGTAGTGTTTTATACTAGTAAGAATATATGTGATTTTATGGTAGGTTTAATTAAAATTTGGTTGGTATGATTAAATTAAATTAAATAATGCTAGATTAAACATCGATTAAGTGAATGCAAGTTAATTACATCATTGCCCTTGAGTGGGCCACTTTCTCATTCATTGTTTAGAATTGATTCATACACCATTTTCAGCCTTTTTCCTTGCCAAAACCGTGAGAGAGAGAGAGTGAGGGAAGAGATTGAATTCATCTAGAGATTTTGCTTGGAAATTGGAGGAATTGTAGAAGAATTGCATAATTGAGCCTCCGTACTTGGAATTGAAGACCCAATGTAGGAAAATCATCTTCTTGATTGTGCATTGAAGTTATACCTTGCATGGTCCATGGTAAAATTGAAGATTAAAGTCAAGGATTGGTTTAAATGTTGAATTGAGTAGTAATTCATGCATGCATGTGCACATTATTGAGTTTTGAAGATGTTTTCATGAATTCCCCTCATGCATGTCAATATTTGGGTTATAGTCCATGAATCCACCATGTTTTGAGCTCAAATCTTACATTTGGTCTCGTTTTAGAGCATTAGATTACCAATGAACACTTGCATGTTACATTTAAGTTCTGTTCTTGAAGTTTTATTTGAAATTGTGTTTAATTGACTCACCTTTGGGCTTTGATTTTACAAATTGATCTTTGAAACATCTTATATTATGAGTTTATAAGTGTTTTCCAGAAAATAGGCCCAAAGGGTTGAGATTTGAGGTGTTGAATTCTTGGTTTGAGCTTGGGAGGCAAATCTGGAAATTCCAAAATTTGGCTTCCTCGCTCGAGCGAAGGATTCCACGCTCGAGCGACCATCGTTTGTTCAGAGCTTCGCTCGAGCGAAGGAATGGTGGCTTGAGTGTAAATTGCAAGCTCTTAGGTTTTTGGTGCACGCAGACGCACGCTCGAGCGACGAGACCTACGCTCGAGCGAAGAGCTGTGTCTCACGCTCGAGTGAGCATCGAGCGTAAAATTTCAACAACCAGTACTTTTGTATTTTTACAGACCGCTCGAGCGAAGGAGTTTACGCTCGAGTGACCCCTCTGTTTTGGTAATCTCGCTCGAGCGAAGAAAGCCATGCTCGAGCGAGACCCCTGTTTTCACTAAGTTTTGAAAAATATTTTCCAAGACATCTTTGCATCCTCATTCCATCCTAGGCATTCCTAGGCCATGTTTAAGACTCTATAGTGAGGGTTTAAGGTTAGAAACACACTAAGAACCAACGACGTAAGTTTTGTGCAATTAGAATGTGTGTTTCAAGTGTGTGTCCATTATGTGTTATGTAGGTCACGTGCCGCGTATCGTGTGATTAGTCTGCTCCGTCTGTCTATTTCAAGGCCAACTGTAAGTAATAACTTAGTAAAGTTATGTTCAAACTGTATCTACTTTCTGTGTGATAAAACAAGATATGTTTTCCGAAATGATATGTTCTGTACAATGAATGATTGTTCAATTTCTGATATGTATTCGTGACATCCTTAGCATCATGTGATATCTGTTAGCTGTTACCCGGTATCGGAGGTTCCTTTATGGAACTTATTTCTGTCTGCACTATGTTACCCGTACCGGAGGCCCTGTCACGGGGCTCAGCTTCTATTCTGTTACCCGGATCCGGAGGTTCCTTTATGGAACTGGTTATTCGTAACCTCACGTGTATACATTCTGTTCTGTTCTGCTCTATTAAAGCTAATGGATGTATCACGTAAACTTAATCATGACTTATGATTTCGGTCTGTATATGATCTGGACAAATGATGAATTTGATACAAATCTGAATTATGATTTCTGAATCTGTACGAATTCATTATTGAAACCCTTTACTCTATTATTATTCACTAGGCTTTCGCTCACAGTTTATATTATGTATGTAGGTGAGCTGGCACATGACCAGGGCCAGAGTTGACTGCCTTCTGTTCTGTTTTTGTCAGCCAACTGTTGTGCCTCCCGAGGAGGTTCCGAACGAAGCCTAATGCCATGGCTGTTTTTGTATTCATGCTAGTCCTTATGTATGCTCTGTAAAGTCAGGTCTTGGGAAGTACATTCTGTAAATACCTTATAAATATTGTGTATCTGGACTGGCATGTTTAAGTATATATATATAAGTTTTGAAATGTTTTGTCCCGTGTACGTTATCACAGCTTATTGGACCTTGTCTATTTTGTATTATTGCTTTCGCAACCCCTTATTATTTGCTAATCTGTTCAGAGGCCTTTGGTAATCCACGGATTACTGGCCGGTTACGGTGCTAAACCTACAGGGGCGGGTTTGGGTCGTGACAGAGTGGTATCAAAGCACATGTTCTACCGCACACACAGGTCCGTATGAGCTTAGGATGTCCTAGTAAGAGTTAGGGGCATTCCATCTGCATGTGTGAGTGAAAACTGAATCTACATTTGAATCAAATGAATTGAAGGAAACGAATAAGATTATGCCTGTGTTTATTATCATTTGATGTCTGTATAGTAAGATGGAGAATGCAAGGAGAAGTGGTGAAAGTGAATCTTCAGAGGCTCGCATGGGCCGAATGGAACAGATGTTAGCAGCATTGAATGAAACCTTGACACAACAACAGAGACAACAACCTTTGCCCCCTCCGCCTCCACCGGCACAAGTCGAGGCTGATAATAATGACATCATCAATCTGACACAGAAATTCATGAAAATGAAACTGCCAACGTTCTATGGTGGAATTGAACCTTTGAAAGCTGAGATGTGGTTGCTTGAGATGGAAAAATTGTATGAAGTATTTCCTTGTTTTGAAACTCAGAAAGTCCTCCTAGCCACCTACACTCTGAAAGATAAAGCCCGCAGGTGGTGGTTACTGATCCGAAGTGGCAATGGAAATATGACATGGGCACAGCTTAATGCTATCTTCTACGACAAGTATTTTCCCCAATGTTTCAGGGATCGAAAAGTGTCTGAATTTCAGGAACTCAAATAGGGAAGAATGTCTGTGGCAGAATATGAAGCTAAATTCACCGAATTGGCACGGTTTGCTCCACATATGGTGGATATCGATTACAAGAAAGCACGAAAGTTTGAAGGTGGATTGGATCTAGACGTGTTTGATCGAGTAGGCGTCCTGAAATTGCCTACTTATGTAGAAGTTCTAGACAGAGCCTTAATCGCAGAGGCTACCCTAGCCGCCATGAAACAAAGTAAAGCCCCAACAACTACAACAACTGAGTGGAGAGGAAAAAGATTCGGGTTTGGTTTTAAAAGAGGCCGGTTCTTTGTCAGTAAGAAGCAAAATACAGGGACTTCAAACAGCTCGAGCCAGAGTAGTGGGTCTATTCCAGTCTGTTCTGATTGTGGTAAAAGGCACAGGGGTGTGTGCTACCGAGTGTCCGGTGCTTGTTTCCGGTGTGGCTAGCCAGGTCATGTAGTGAAAGATTGCCCGCTCAGGTCTGAGACTACTAGTCGTCCTGCAGCAAGTTCAGCGGGATCTGCTTCTGTGGCCAAAACCAATGCCAAAACCAATACTGGGAAAGAACCTCTGAGACAAGGCCAAGTGTTTGCCTTAGTACCCGATACCGAACACCTATACTGTGGTGTCAGGTACACTCCCTATATGTTCTCAAAATGCATGTGTATTGATAGATTCTGGTTCTACACATTCCTTGGTATCGCATGCTTTTTCTCGAAAATTGACTAGACCATTAGAACTTATGACCTATGTGTTATCTGTGTCTACGCCGTCTGGGGATTCTATGATGTGTGCTCATGTTTATCCAGCATGTGATGTTATGATTGGCGATATGATGTTATATGTGGACTTATTACCCTTGGATATTAATCATTTTGATTGTATTTTGGGGATGGACTGGTCGATTAAATACTGTGCTACCATTGACTGTGCAAATAAAACTGTTGTGTTTAGACCACCGGGTATGCCTGAATTTACTTTTATTGGGAATGGGGTAGTTCCTCCCCCACAGTGTTTTTAAAGGCTCAAGGCGCACTAAGGCACCGAAGGTCTCTTGGAGCCTAGGCGCAAGGCGCAAGGCGAGGCGCGGGCTTTGTTGAAGTAAGGCGCACAGTATTCGTAAAAAATAGAAAAATTAATATAGACTAATCATTCATAGTACTATTACAATTTTTAAAAAAATAAAAAGTAATCAAGATTCAAGACAAAATATAGAATAATTCTCAAAGCCATGAAAGTGCATATTACATAACATTTCAATTTTCAAAGATCAAATAATCCACATTCAATAAAATAAAAACATAAACACTAAACATCTAAAACATAAATATCCAACAAATACTAATATATGTCTTAACACTTAAAAACATCAATATCAAAAGAAAGGGTAGGTTAGGTCGGTGTCAGTCAATCATCATCCTCAACATCAATGGCAAGCAAACTATCATCTTCTTCTCCATCAGTTGATTTGTATCCCTCAACATCTTCCTCCTCTGTGTCATCTGAGCCCGCTTCCTCTTCATTTATTAATTGAAGTGGAGTCAATGTTGATGATTTAGATATCCTCGGTTGTGCCTCTGAGCGTGAACTTGTTGCTCTACTTGCATGGCTACTTTCTTCTACTCCAGAAGCTCTAGCAACAGTGGCCCACGTCAAGCCATCATCATCATCATCAAACACAGGCTCATTATCTTCATCTGATTCTCCATCCATCCTCCCAAGCAACCACTCATTGCTTTCATCAATATTTTGCAAAGATATGGGATCAATAGTGTTGCGCATGTCATACCTAAATCTCAATGTTCTATTGTATTTGACATACACTAAATCATTGAGACGTTGTTGTTCCAATCTATTTCTTTTCTTGCTATGAAGCTGAAATTATTAAAAAGATATTAAATTCTATATAATGAGAATAAAAAATATTTGAATTGAACAAAAAATTAGTTAGAATGTTAAATACTCACATGTTCGAATACACTCCAATTTCGTTCACAACCCGATGAACTACATGTTAGGCTAAGGACTTTTATGGCAAAAGTTTGCAAGTTTGAAGTATAAGAACCATATGATGCCCACCAATCAACTGCGATAATCCACTAGTTAGAAATAATTGTTACCAAGTATTGAGTCTTACTAAAAGTATTACTAAAAATAAATTCTATGAGTCTATAATATATTACCTGGTACTCTTGTATTTCTTTGCCTAATCGCAACATATTTGCCAAAAAGACTCTCAGCCTTCATATAAATACTCATCTCATTAGTGATCAAATCTTGAACAGTGACATCCGGGACCAACCTTTGCATGCATTCATAAAACTCATTCATCACTTCATGATCTTTTTGCACCTCTAACTTTTGGGTAAAAGAATTCTGGGTTAAGAAAATGCGCAGCTGCATGTAAAGGTCGATGCAATTGAACATCCCATCTTTTGTCAATGATTTCGAAAATTTCATTATACTTCTCTTCTTTATGATCAAATGAAATTGCAATGCATTCTTTTGCCCTATCCATTACCTCATAAATGTATCCCATGGGAGGTTTCTTCTCGGTATCAACCAATCTAAGCACTCTGACAAGAGGACCCGAGACCTTAAGGGCAAACACAACAGTATTCCAAAATGAAGGCATCAACAAAGTTTGTGCCATTCTTTTACCTTGTGGCTCCTTTGCCCATTTGCATGAGGTCCAGTCTTCGGAGGTGACCATCTTTCTCAAATTGTTTTTTTGTTGATGCATCCTAAACAAAGTCAAAAAAGCGGTTGCAAATCTAGTTCTTGCAGGCTTGATCAAATTCTTCAAATTTGTAAAGCGCCTCATCATGTTTAGCAACGTAGGCCGATTGTAAATGTAGCCATGTACTGCAATACCCCTTTCAAATGTCTTTTTCAGTCTAGGTATCTTGAAAATGTCTTCTAACATCAAGTCCAAACAATGAGCAGCACATGGTGTCCAATACAAGTCCAAAATATATTACTTATTTGCTCTTCACAATCTAATTGGACTGCATAATAAAAGGATGGATTTTTCACAGTTTTCTTACGAAAGTACTGCAACACACTACCCGCTTCTCCATATTCCAAATCCTTTTGTCTCTTCGATCTCAAGTAATTTTTTTGGTCTAATTTGATGAAGCCAAGTGATGCTTTTCTACCAGATTCCCTACAAAATAGCTCATAAGCAGACCTAAGAGAAATTCCAAATTCTGAAGCCAATTCTACGTCAATTGCTTGGGTGGTAGATATTTTTCTTTGGGATGACAAAATATGAATGCACTTTTGAGGCACAAGGGCATGATTATGATGTTCAACAAAATCAATTGCAACATATTTTCCTAAATTTCTAACTTGATACTCAATCGGGCACTACAACCACATCTCACCTCTTGTCTCAGAAATTTTACTAGTGGATCTCGCTTGTCAATACCCCGAGTTCCCTCTTTGTAACATACAAAAGTCAGTGAAGTTATTTTCTTAGTTTGTTTGTTCTTATGTGCATACGTCTTCCTAATACTAAAGCCCACATTTTAACCATAGTTATTGTAAAAGTCATATGCAGTTTGCTCAAAGTCAAATGACATGCCCAATTTCGGCTTTCAACCACAACTAGCCAACTCATTGACAACATTATTTTCTTTCATTACCTATAATTTAGTACCACTCAAATAATTAAAAAAAAAATAAAAAAATAAAAAATTAAAGCAAAACAGTTGAAAAAAAAAAATAAAAGAAAAAAAATAAATAAATAAAAGCAAAACAGTTGAAAAAAAAATAAAAGAAAAAAAATAAATAAATAAAAGCAAAACAGTTGAAAAAAAAATAAAAGAAAAAAAATAAATAAATAAAAGCAAAACAGTTGAAAAAAAAATAAAAGAAAAAAAATAAATAAATAAAAGCAAAACAGTTGAAAAAAAAATAAAAGAAAAAAAATAAATAAATAAAAGCAAAACAGTTGAAAAAAAAATAAAAGAAAAAAAATAAATAAATAAAAGCAAAACAGTTGAAAAAAAAATAAAAGAAAAAAAATAAATAAATAAAAGCAAAACAGTTGAAAAAAAAATAAAAGAAAAAAAATAAATAAATAAAAGCAAAACAGTTGAAAAAAAAATAAAAGAAAAAAAATAAATAAATAAAAGCAAAACAGTTGAAAAAAAAATAAAAGAAAAAAAATAAATAAATAAAAGCAAAACAGTTGAAAAAAAAATAAAAGAAAAAAAATAAATAAATAAAAGCAAAACAGTTGAAAAAAAAATAAAAGAAAAAAAATAAATAAATAAAAGCAAAACAGTTGAAAAAAAAATAAAAGAAAAAAAATAAATAAATAAAAGCAAAACAGTTGAAAAAAAAATAAAAGAAAAAAAATAAATAAATAAAAGCAAAACAGTTGAAAAAAAAATAAAAGAAAAAAAATAAATAAATAAAAGCAAAACAGTTGAAAAAAAAATAAAAGAAAAAAAATAAATAAATAAAAGCAAAACAGTTGAAAAAAAAATAAAAGAAAAAAAATAAATAAATAAAAGCAAAACAGTTGAAAAAAAAATAAAAGAAAAAAAATAAATAAATAAAAGCAAAACAGTTCAAAAAAAAAAATAAAAGAAAAAAAAAATTAAATCAGAGAGAAGTCCAGATCGAAGACGAAGAAGGGGGGGAAGGGGAGAGAGTCGAACCTGCGAATCACAGAGCTGAAGTCGATCTGCGAAGTTGATCGAAGTAGGACCTGCGAATTGAACCTGCGAACCCTAATCGAGCGTGCGAAGTTGATCGAAGTTGATCGTAGTCGCAGAGGAAGAGGAAGACAGGAAGAGGCGACTTCGATTAGGGTTATCTGAGCCCTATTTGGCTCATATGGTCCATGAGTCGTAATCCTCTATGATTACGAGGCCTTCGATTAGGTCGATTAGGTTCATCTGAGTCGTTAGATGGGATCAACGACTTGAACACTCAGTCGCGCATAGGCAATCACCTTGCGCCTCTCGCGCCTTGATCCAGTCACGTCTAAGGCGCTCGCCTGGATGAAGTCGCCTCGCCTGGTACCTCGACAGGCGCAGATGGTGCGCCTCGACTCGCCCTGCGCCTAGGCGCGCCTTTGACAACACTGCTCCCCCATATTTGATTTCGGCTATGAAAGCTGTAAAACTCCTTAGGAAGGGATGTAGGGGTTATCTGTGTTGTATACTGGTTGCACCATCTGACAGTACTACTGTAGAAACAATCCCTGTTGCTTGTGAATTTCCCAATGTGTTTTCGACTGACCTACCTGGGGACTTAGTTGATAGAGAAATTGAATTCACTGTTGAGGTGTTTCCGGGGACACAACCTATTTCCAAGACTCCCTATAGAATGTCTACCTCTGAATTGAAAGAATTGAAAACCCAACTTAAGGAACTGTTAGATAAGAAATTTATCCATCCGAGTACTTCACCTTGGGGTGCTCCAGTTTTGTTTGTCAAAAAGAAGGATGGATCTTTAAGATTGTGTATAGACTACCGAGAACTGAACAAAGTGACTATCAAGAATAAATACCCTTTGCCCCGAATAGATGACTTGTTTGATCAACTTCAGGGTGCCCAAGTGTTTTCCAAAATTGATCTCAGGTCCGGGTATCATCAATTAAAGATTAGAGCTGAGGACATAGAGAAAACTGTATTCCGAACTAGATATGGACATTATGAATTTTTAGTAATGCCGTTTGGGATGACCAATGCACCTGCAGCTTTCATGGATCTTATGAATAGGGTGTTTAAATCATATCTAGATGACTTCATTGTTGTATTTATTGATGACATTTTGATTTATTCTAAAGACAGAGATGAACATGAGAACCATCTGAGAACCACCTTGCAGATTTTGAGAGAAAAGAAATTGTAGGCTAAATTGTCCGAGTGTGAATTCTGGCTTGACAGTGTGGCATTTTTGGGACATGTAATCAACAAGGATGGAGTTTTTGTTGACCCTCAGAAAATTAAAGTTGTTGTGGATTGGCCTAGACCGACAAATGTGACAGTAAGTCCGAAGTTTTCTGGGACTTGCAGGTTACTATCGGAGGTTTGTGAAAGACTTTTCCAAGCTTGCCATTCCATTGACTCAGTTAACTCAGAAAAGTGTGCCATTTCACTGGAATGAACAAAGAGAGGCAGCTTACCAAGAGTTGAAAACCAGGTTAGTGACTGCACCAATCTTAACCTTTCCTAATGGTACTGATGGGTTTCAAGTGTACATTGATGCTTCCTATAAAGGCTTGGGGTGTGTACTAATGCAAAACGGAAGGGTGATTGCCTATGCTTCTAGACAACTTCGACCTCATGAAAAGAATTACCCAACACATGATCTTGAATTAGCAGCTGTGGTATTTGCTTTGAAAATATGGCATCACTATTTGTATAGGATAACTTGCGAGGTGTATACAGACCATAAAAGTTTGAAATACTTCTTCACCCAAAAGGAATTGAACATGAGACAGAGACGATGGTTAGACCTAATCAAGGATTATGATTTGCAAATCTTGTATCATCCAGGAAAGGCTAATACTGTAGCAGATGCCTTAAGCTAAAAATCCAGTGCGAATTTGTCATGTTTGCTATCCAACCGAAAAGAATTGTTGACTGACCTAGAACAAGATGGGCTATTAACTGCTATTGCCGTTCAACCTACAATTCTTGACAAAATCAAACAGAAATAGTGTGAGGATGAATACTTGAAAAAGATCACAGAGGAATTTGATTCAAAGCCGAGGCTAGGATTTGTGTTTGAGAATGATGTGCTGAAATTTCAGAACCGTCTTTGCGTGCCCGATTGTTATGATTTAAGGAAACGTGTTATGACCGAAGCTCACAGTAGTAAATTTGCTATGCATCCGGGGAACACGAAGATGTATCATAATTTGAAATAGAATTTTTGGTGGCCTAGAATGAAACAGAGTATTGCAGACTTTGTGGCTAGATGTCTACAGTGCCAATAGGTTAAAGCTGAACATCAACGACCTGCTGGTTTACTACAACCACTCCCAATACCGGAATGGAAATGGGAGCACATTACCATGGACTTCATTGTGGGATTGCCTCGTTCTTCTCGAGGTATGGACTCTATCTGGGTTATAGTTGACCGTTTAACTAAGTCTGCCCATTTTCTGCCTATCAAAACTATTTATAACGCTGATAAATTGGCCAATATCTATATGACTGAAATTGTGAGATTGCATGGAGTGCCAGTATCTATTATGTCTGACAAGGACTCAAAGTTTGTATCGAGATTTTGGTAGAGTTTGCAACAGGCTTTGGGGACTGAATTGAGACTGAGCAGTGCTTATCACCCACAGATAGATGGCCAAACTGAATGAACGAACCAAACTCTGGAGGATATGTTCAGAATGTGTGTGTTAGACTTCCAAGGAAATTGGGAGACTTACTTGCCATTAGCTAAATTTGTGTACAACAACAGTTACCATTCAAGCATTGGAATGGCTTCTTACGAAGCTTTATATGGAAGAAAATGTCGTTCTCCGATATGTTGGGCTGAAGTAGGTGATAGACCTTTGTTGGGACCGGAACTTGTGTAAGAAACAACCGAGAAAGTGAAACTGATACAGCAGCGTCTGAAAATTGCACAGAGTCGGCAGAAGAGCTATGCCGATGTTCGAAGAAGAGAGAGGGA